AATTAATCATTCAAAATGGGGTTGATTACACAGACTTCCCTAACTGCTGATAAAAAAGCAGATATACAAAATCAAACAATGAAAATGACACATTTGTATCTTAATATTTTCAGATGAGATCCTTTAATTTAAAACCAACCTGTTATCTTTTCAATATAAATGTTTGTATGTTTTTTTAAGCTTTCTTAAAGTATCCATGTAATATAACTTGACCAAATCTTTTCAATTATTTTCTTGCCTTACAGTGCAACAGAATATGAAGATTATGTTGCAAAAACCTCTTTCAAAATAAACTAGAAAGAATTGTAGCAGTGTTCTCAGGCTCCAATCAATTGATCTCTTCTCTAAATTCATTTTAAGGAGGTTTGATTATGGTAGTTAGCAAGTTATCTGCTGTGAGTTAACACCTCTGTTTGAGCTTTCATGTTTTGTTAATAGTTGTAGGATGCAAGAGGTGAAAAAAATAACTAAGCCTAGACTTCTCCCAATCAACCCTGGACATTTGTGAAACAAACCATTGGGATTATAAAAAGAAAAATAAAAAATAAAAAAAAATTCAACATTGGCAACAGTAGCTGTTTTTATTTTCCCAAGCAAAACCTTGTGCCCAGAGTTGCCAGATCTTTCTATTTTATCAAGTGAAACAAAGAATCCCAGTGTCTAGGCAAAGGCTACTGTTTTCGTGGCCAGTTCATGATTAAAAAGAAGTAAATAAGTGAACACTTAAAACAATAATAATAATACATAGGACAAAACCCCAACACGTCTACAATCCAGAATGGAATGCCACGCTTTTCTGCCAGACTTTTTTTGGTTTTTAATTGTGGTTGTTAGTTGCTGGTGAGTCACTTCTGACTCAGTGGCCCCATGAATACAGAGAAGGACTATTCCATTGTGACCTTCTGAAAGCAGATAGTCAGGCTTGTCTTCCAAAGTGCCTCTGGGTCAGTTTGAACTTTCAGCCTTTCCATTAATAATCAAGCACTGCACCGTTTACACCACCCATGGCCTTCTCAGAGTAACCAAACCCATTGCCTTTGAGTCAATTCTGACATGTAGCAAAAAAATGCCAAGCAGAATGGATCTGTCCCACAGAACTTCTAAGACTGTCAATCTTTACAGAAGCAGACAGCCACGTCTCCCCCACCCCCAGCATGGGCTCGAATTAGTAAACTTTCTGTTAACAACTGAATGTGTAACAGCAGTGCCAGCAGAGTTTCCTGACATAGCCTCACTTTTTTTTCATATGAGACTCAGGTTAGGTATGCAGTTTGCCAACAGAAGTTGTTGTGTGCCATCAAGTTCAAACTCGCTCATAGCTGACCCCTCTTACCAGTTTTCAGAGGCTGTAAATCACAGAGGAGGAGATTGCCCATGTTCTCCTGGAAAGTGGCTGATGGATTGGAGCTGTGTGCCTATGGGTTGGCAGTGTATCTCCTTACTACTAAGCCAACAGAGTTCCTTAAACCATGGAGACAGATGTGTGTGTGTGTGTGTGTGTGTATTTCACAGAGCAAAGTTTTAGAAGTTTACGGTAATTTGAAAAGTGAGAATACCTGGATTTAAGCTGTCTGCCTGAGAACAGGGTGGGACAGAAGTTGAGAGCAGAGAGAACCAGACTCCAGTTTCTCTCTCCATCCCCTGAAAATAGTAAGAAGTATAAACATGTTAAAATTGTTAATTTAAAGACAGTTTTGCATTATTTATTGAGCAGCACATATTCCTGAAATGGGACATAGTACTTCTTTTATTTTTCACACTTTCTAGCAGATAAGAATACGGCCAAGAAAATAAAGGCAAAGAGAACTTCAATTACTCTCACATTATAGATCTATAATATCTCACTTATTAGTACTTACATCAAAATAATACATTCAGCATCTTAATAACTAAAATACAGATATAGATTTTGAGCAGTAATGAGATTAATGTTAGTAATAGCTTTTTTCCATTTTGAATCATTTGATTAGATTCATGAGTTTAATATTACATTTAAATTTATAGATATATTTGAAGTAGTAATTCATAAGACTTTAATTATATAGATATCTCACTTTGCATATTCTATTTTGCTTTATGATCTTAAAATATAGATTATTTTAAAATATAAAATGCTTTCCAAGTATTTCAAACACTTAAAGGTTGTTAACATTTTTTAAAATGTTTTATAGGCATTGCTTTTCATATCATTTCATTACCATGAATCCTATCTCAGTATGAGGAGGGAGAATTAGTTCAGATCCTAGCTCTATATTGGAGCATCTTGTGTCCCCTTCTGTGATATTGTGCTGACAGCATAGTCAAGACGAAGTCATGCTACTACATTAAAAGTGACACCTCTCTGGTGATTAAAATCCACAAACAGCTACAAGGGACAAGGAGAGACAATCTTTCTGGGCAATTCAAAGCCTGTTGGAGGGTCAGCTCCGAGTCGGTTCCTACTTGACTCTTTTATTGAATGTCATGTCATATAAACTGCAGCCATTTGCCATGACTCTGGTAATCTGAGTGAAAAATCCCAACACGAAAGCTTTTAATCCATGTAATCCTCCCCTTTCCAGTTAGGGAGCTTCTGATGGCTTAATAGTAAGGAACTGTGCTACCAACCCAGTGGTACATGGTTTGAATCCACCAGCTGATTGCCAAGAAAAAAAGATACAGTCTCTCTCTGTGCAATTTACTGCCTCAGAAAACCTGCTGGAGGGTCAGCTATAAATTGGTTCTGACTTGACAATAGGCAGCACCAACACCTTCCTTTTAGTTAATATCCTGCCTTTCTCTTCTTTTTTATTTTACCCCTCCTTCGGAACAGAATATTGCTTGATCCTGTACTGTCCCTGTGATCAACTACAGATTGTACCACAGAGATCCATATGCTTTTCACGGGTCAAATATTTGAAAATAGATTGCCAGGGCTTTCTTCCTAGTCTGTCTTAGTCTCGAAGCTCTCGAAATTTGTTCAGCATCAAGGCAGCACACAGATACTTACAGATGGACTATAAATGAGATCCGTTGTCTGGAATCATTATACTAATAACAGCTAACATTTATGCAGTTCTTTCTTTTGACAGGGCTGCTTGCTGCAGCGGACCTATCTACCATTTTATATCTATATATCTATATCTATTTTTGTCTCTATCTCTATCTATCTAGAGATATCTATCTATCTAGAGATAGAGATAGATATATAGATATATAATTATAGGTATTTACCATTATACATAATATTATTTATAATATATATGATATAACTAATAAATTTATATTTATAGATATTTACCATATATATAATTATAAATTTTATGGCAGTCATACATGTCTCCATTTTTAAAAGCCAAACACTACTACTAGGCTTGGCAAATAGATTTTAAAAAAAATTCATAGGCAGCATGAATTATAATTTTTCCCCTGGTCCTTTCCCAATAAAAATACATATACATTCTCTTCCTCTGTGATTACAAAACATACTTCATCACATGTAAAATATACAGAGAATTCAAAAATTGCAAGTTTCAATTCACACATTCTGCCAATATTTCCACATCATTGAATGTTCCTTTGTAACACATTTAATAACCAGGAGTTACTTAATTATGTAAATAGGCTGTAATTTATTTAACCAACTCCCTGGTAATTATTTTAATCTTCTTTCCTTTTTTTTGTTCAATACTTGCTCTTTTTTTGATTTTTAAGCAATATTTTTATCATTCACTGTGTTTCACACATGTACAGTATGCTCCCTATAGTCATTTATTTCTATTATGAGATGTTTTCCCCCCTTAAAATTATCATACCAAAAACTGGTTTCATGAAGCATGTAAGGCAGCTACTTTATGCCTCCTGCGTCAAATTCCCCTTTTAGAGAGCCAATTGCTGACTTGTCTGTTCATATCAAACAAGTGGTTCTGAGGGAACAAGCTTATCTCTTTTGCTGAGGGATCCATAATTTAACTTGGACTCTTTGAGCATCTGCATCTATAAGTAAAGTCCAGTGCAGAGCAAGCCATCAGGTAGTAGCTCCTTTCTTTATTATGATAGATAAAAATACTTAGACCATTCAAGTAGCTAAAAATTTGCATACATCTGTAATCAGTAAGATGAAGTATAGTTGTTATGTTAAAGAGAATATGAAGTCTTGAGATTGGCTTGTAGAAATGCAGGTTATTTGCCCTCATATCTGGTATGCAGGGTACCCATAACCCAAAACTTCAGCTCAGTCTGTACTATCACGTAATCATAATCATCTAATTGCATATGTATCAATATTTAGTAACTCATTTCCAACGGCCCTTTAGGGTAAATACCATTTTATACATTTCCAGTCACTTAAACAGGGAGATTTGGAAGGGGCACTTTCTAAAGTAGCTTTGTACAGATGATAACAATTCTGTTATCTGTGATAACAGATGATAACAATTCTGTTAGTCTGTGCCTGGAATCGTCTCTCTCTCTCTTAGTCATTGCGGTTGAATTAAAGTAAAATAAGTAAATTTATGTATTTCATCGTAAAGAATGTATAATGATTGTCTTGTATTTGAATTTTCTTTCTTGTAAATTGTTGTTGTATACCATCAAGTGAGGATCGACTCCTAGCTGACTCCCCAGAGAGTTTTCAGAGGTAGTGAATTGTATGAAAGTTGATTGTCCATCTTTTCACCATGTCTCTACTACTGGATTCGAACTGCTTGCCTTTGGGTTGATAGTGCAATTCCTTACCACTAAGCAGGCCACCAGAGTTCTCCTTTCTATAAGTAATCATTTTTAATTATGAAAATGTCCATTAATATTTCTTTTTAAAAAATGTCAGTGTGACTTCTTTCCTCCCAGAGATTTCAGAGAAGAATAACTTCAGTATCAGTAACTTCACATCACTCAAACAAACTAGGATTGTTGCCATGGTGTAGGGACAAAAGATTTTGAAATGATCTTAATGTTTCATTGTAGTTTCAATTCCTTAAAACAACAGACACATAATTGCTTATGTAACCTTATTTTTCTAGGTCCCCAAAAAACCCAGAACAGAAGATCATTAAGAGAGTGATTGCCCTTGAAGGAGACATCGTAAAGTGAGTACTTGAACAGTTGATTTTGAGGTCAAGTTGGAGATATCTTGATTTTGTTCAGCTTTAAATTACATTATGTGGGAAGTACATTTTTAGTTTAAAGAAGATGAAAGGTTTGGAGACATTTTAAGTGAGCGGGTGCATTTTTGGTGAGCATGGTTAACTCTTTCAGGATGGGAAGCTGATAATAAATTTACGGATCCTGTTACTTTCTTAAGGAGCCTGGTGGAGGTGTGTCAGCATATTGGGTTGCTCACAAAAGGTCAGCAGTTAGAATCTACCAGCTGCTCCCCAGGGAAAATAAGGGCAGTCTCCTCCTGAAAAAGCTTTCCTGCTTTAGAAACCAGATGGAGGGTTGCTGGGAGTCAGGACAGACTCACAACTGATTATTATTATTATTATTATGATCTAATTGTGGGCCACAAAGGCAATATAAGCTGAAATTCACCCCAACCTCTAAAAACCTAGTAAACCATTATTTTTCAGATACTAATAAAAATTAGCATGACTTGGAAAAGTTAAGATTTTTTAAGGTTTGAGAAAAAAATCAGGACATTTCCTGATTTATAGCAAAGGCAGACACTGTAAAAGGACAGAGGAGGCTTGTATTAGGAGCCCACTCCCACTCCCTTCAAGTTGATTCACAATACTGACTCTCCGTCTCATTTCCAAGGCTGTGAATCTTTACAGGAATAAAGTGCCCATCTTCCCCTTGCAGAGTGGCTGGTGGGTTCGTACAGCCAACCCTTCACTCTGCAGATCAATATTCCCTATGTTGCCACGGCACATTTTTATTATCAGAGATATTTGTAAAACGGCAAAACAATGTGGAGTGTAGTATCTGGATCAGTGCCAAAACAGTAGATTTGGAAAATAACAATGTAACACTCAGATGTTGTAACAACATGCGGTCATGCTTTATTTATTCTACAAGCTGATGAATCGAGAAGAGTGTTTGACATTCAGCACATTAGTGTTGGTGCAGGATCCTGAGTTTCATTTTGATTGCTTGTTTTAAATAAATTGTTCTCAGGCTTATGCAATATGAGGATCAAAATGATTTTGACTACAGTTCAGGAAGACACTTGCTTTTGTGAAAATCTGTGTTGTAAAACGTTATCAGCAATTTAATATGAAAGTATCATGTATTAATTATAGAGATTAATCAAATTCATTGAACTGAACCTCAGTCCATTTCAGAGCAGAATTCAACTTGTTAAAGGTTGGTCCAAGGAACCCTGGGGGATGAGGGTCCGAAGACCTTTCTCAGAGTTCTTTAAGATCAAAGAAATTTTCCTAATAGCACAGATGTTGTTTACCTTTTTCACTTTTATTTTCTCACGAGTGGATGATGGCATTTTTCAGGGAATCCTACACTACAACAGATATTTGACGAAAAGGCAGAGTTGTTGCTTTTCTTGATTAACAGAAAGAATGTATCACAGAGGGATGTCAGAGTGAGGAATCCCGAGGTTAGGGGTAAGGAGGTCGAAAAGGCAGAGTTGTTGCTTTTCTTGGCTAACAGAAACAATGTATCACAGAGCGGTGTCAGAGTGAGGAATCCTGAGTTTAGGGGTAAGAAGGTGAAGTGACATGTAGGCTTGCACCCATCGCTTTGCACTACTGCTGCAGCACCTGGGTAAAGGTTGGTTTTTGTTGTGAATTGACACCTGGAACTTATGTCTCCATCTGTCCCCCCTTCATTATCTCTCTCCTGGAGCAATGGAAAACAAAGAACAGAAATGTCAGGGCTCAAGACTTTCTCACTGAGTGACCTCTGAAATCTATTCCACAATTGATTAGAAAGAATATTAATGTTTTAGTGTTTGACTTTTTAAAGAAATTAAAAATATTCTTCATTTGAAACTTTTATACCTGAGAATGCTACATTTTTTTTTTATTTTAAGTCTATTTTTTTAATTGAATCCCTACAATGTTTTGTTTCTTCCTAACATTATTGGGAAATGTTAAAAAATGTGTTATAATTGAATATCATTTACTGATATTTTACTTCTTTCCTCTATGGCTCATTTTTTAAATGCACATTTAAAAAACATCATTATTGGCATAACAAAAGTCCAGAATAAGAGATGCATAGTAAAGTGGACTTGGGGGGGAGGGTCCTGTATAACAATGAAAAAAAATTTTTCCCCTTAGAAAATAGTGAACTGGATGGGGGGCAGGGAGGAAAATGTGCAACAGTGAATGAATGGAAATCTAAGTTCTCTATAAACTTTCATTAAAATCTCAATAAAGAAAGAAAAAAACATCATGAAGATACACCTTAGAACAGTTAACTGTACAAGGGCAATGTTTGCCCAGAAAGAAAATTTAGAAGGCAAGAAAGGGTAAGAGACAAGGTCAACTGGAAATGGAGAAACCAGGAAGGAACTGGGAAGAATGTTGACACATTGATGGGATTGCAACTAATGTTATAAAATAGAAATTGTTGAGTGCAAAATTTTCACTGTAAACTTCTACCCAAACCAGAATAAACTTGTTAAAAAAATACAATATGCCCTATGCCTATGCCAAGAAGCCATTAGTCTATCAATTCTCTTCTGACAGACAAGGCTCTTTGGTTTGTGAGGTTCTTGTTGATGTCGAGAATCAATGAGTCAGAGATGACCTATAGCTGATCCTCCAGCAGGTTTTCAGAGGTATTACATTGCGTGAGAGGAGATTGCCCATCTTCCTCCTGGGAAGACGCTGGCAGACTGAAACACGTACTTCTGTGTTGGCAGTGTGGTTCCTTCTTTACCACCAAGCCACCACTGATAAGGGCTTTGTAAATTTCCCCAACACCCCCCATAATGATGGGTGGATTACCTAGCAAGAAAACGAAGCTCAGTGTGTTACTGTTGCTGGCTGATCTCTTCAAGGTTCTGATTGGTACTGAACCTCTGTGGAGCAGAGGGAGACACTGCCTGGCGCCGGGCCATCTGCACTGTCACTGCTCTGCCTGAGTCCATTGTTGAAACCTCTGTGTCAGTCTGTCTTGTGGGGGGGGTCCTCTTGTTCACTCCAAAGACTGGTCCCTTTTGATAAAAGGCTGAAGTAAGAAGAAGTTTCTACATCTTTACCTCGAAGGAGCATCCTGGCTGCATGTCCACAGGGCAGTTGGCAACAACACATGGAAAGCTATTCATAATGTGTATGCATTATGACATAAATTATTTTCCATTTTTAAAAGAAAATATTTCGTTTACTTGTTCAAGGGGGAAAAAACCATGTACGTTTCATCATCTTCTATTCAAAGGCACTCTGGCACTGCTAATCCAAAAGCAAGTGGCTTTCTGGCAGTTTGAATCCACCAGCACTTCTGTGAGCATAAGGTGTTAAACCTCCAACTGTATGATTGATAGCCTTGGAAACCGCAGGGGGCCAGCTGTGAGTGTCTCAACTCCACAGCAATAAAAGAGAAAGGTAGTCAAGGAACTCAGGTCACATGGTGGTTAAGAAGTTGCAATGCAATCCCAAATGCACATGGTTCAAATCTACCAGCTGCTTCATGGGAGAAAGATGGGCCATCTCTTTTTTTTTTATTTTATTTTATTATTTTTTGTGCATGTACCATCAAATCAGATCTGACTAGTACAGGAGGAAATGGTCCCTCCTTCTCCGGCAGAGCATCTAGTGGATTCGAACTGTGTACCTTTGGGATTGCAGTACAGCTTCTTGCCACTAGGCCACCAGAGCTCCCAGCTGTCTCTTTTCGTGCTGTTCACTGCCTCTGAAAACCCACTGGAGGGTCAGCTATGAGTTAGTTCTGACTTGACAGCACACAGGATCAGTGGCACAGTAGAGTTCTGCAAAGACGTGAGGGTAAAAACCACCAGCTGCTCCAGATGGGTGGTCTCCTCCTGTGTGATTTACTGCCTCTGAAAAGTCACTACACGGTCAGCTACCAGTCAATTATTATGAGTTGATGATGGTACACAGCGGCAACCATAACAGTGGTACAATTATGATATGGCTGGAGCAGGGCATAGAAAAGAAACATCCAGAAATCAAAGCTATGTTCAGAAAAGGCCCTTGAACAAAGGATATCATTGCTGATGTCAAATGTACCCTGGTTGAAAACAACATATTCGAAAGATATTCTTTTGGTTTTTTTGACTCTGCAAAGGCATCTGATTATGTGGACCATGACTTATTCTTTTACATTGAAAAGAAAGTGAATTACAGCACACTTGTACTCTATCCAGACCAATAGGTTGTCCAAACAGAACAAAGTGACATTGCATGGCTTAAAATCCAGAAAGGTATGCGTCAGGGTTGCATCCTTTCTCCATACATATATGGAGATCAGTATGCTTATCAAATCATTTAAGAAGTACTCTGTAAATGTTCATTAAAATTAATAAAATAAAAATTTTTAAACAGATTAAAAAAAGAAGCAGGACTACTGTGCAAAGAATATGCCATCAGCATTGGAGGAAGACTCATCAGCACTCTGCATTTTGCAGATAACACAACCTTGCTTGTAGAAACTAAAGAGGACTTAAAATACTTGCTGCAGAAGATCAAAGATTACAGCTTTCAATATATATTACATCTCAACATTTAGAAAACAAAAATCTTCACCACTGGACCAGTAGACAACAGCATGATAGATGGAGAAAAGATTGAAGTTGTCAACTGTTTCATTTCACTTGGTTCAACAGTGAACACCCATGGAAGGAGCAGTGAAGTAAACAAAGACTTGTTGCATTGAGCGAACCGGCTGCCAAGGACCCTTCAAAAGTTCTGAAGAGCAAGGATGTCAGTTTAAAGACTAAGGTGCACCTGATCCAATCCATGGTATTTTCAATTGCTTCAAATGCTTCTGAAAATAGGAAAATAAATAGGGAAGACCAAAGGAGAATTGATGCCTTTAAAAAGCAGTATTGATACTTACCTGGCAGGGGAGATTCTGTGATCATGAAAGTGATTCCAGGGGTAGGCTTATCCATTGTATTCTGGATGTGCTGACACCTGTGATTCCCCAATTGTGAGAAATT